CATCTGGTGACATCACAGAGGGGCCCCGAGTCACAGAGAGGGGGCGTGGGGTGGCCTGCTGAGACTCGGAGGAGGAGACAGCCACACAAGCCTGGGGCAGGGGTGGAAGACTGTCCCTCACCCTCAGAGCCTGGGCATGGGCAAAGGTCCTGGGACAGGAGACAGCGTGGCGCGTCCTCGGAGCGGACAGAAGTCGGAAATGAGCTGCTCCGCACGGAGGAGAGCCAGGAGGGGAGCCACAGCCGGTGAGCTGTGGTCTGCGGGGCTGGACCGCGAGGCCCAGCCTGGCGCAGGCGCCGGGTGGGTTTAAGCAGAGGATTCTCAGTTTGGTTTGCGCTGAGAAGCTCACTCTGGCTCCTGAGGGGAGCGTGGGTTTCGAGGAGCCCAAAGGAGACTCACAGGGCAGCTCTGAGACCCGGTCACCCGCTGGCTGTGGCTGTGGGCGGGGCTGGGAGGTGCGTTTCTGGGTCCAGTTGTGAGCTGGGCTCGGGCACAAAGACCCCAGCTGCTGCCAGGAGCGACCTGCACGCCACAGGCTTCCAGCTGGGATGGGCCCAAGAGGTCAGACAGTTTGCTCCCTGGGGGACAGGCTTGCTTCTGCCCTCAGCAGGGACCCCAGCTTCTCAGGACAGAGACGGGGGTGCAGTTAGAGGACCCAGGCGCAGACCCCCAGGCCTCGCAGCCTCACTGCCCGTCCCTGCACCGCCACCATTCACACGGAGGCGGCCATCATGCAGGCCCCAGGCTCGCGAACCCACCAAGCAGGTTCCCACTCGGGAAGCGGGGAGAGCCCAGCGGAGGGGCAGGAAGAGCACCGGACAGTCAGATGCGCGTGACGGAGGAGCCGCGAGCCGTGCCCACAGCTCAGTTGGCATTGCTGACGTGTCCTCTCCCTGGGCACCATCTGAATAAGCAAGCAATCCGTCGACCTGAAGTGAACTCCTTGGAAAGGAGAGATGGAGAGAGATGGAGAGAGAGCACGTGGAACATCGCTGAGACCCAAATGGACCAACGCTGGTGAAGACGAGGCAGTGGAAGGGCAGGCTTGTCCCCTGCCGCGTGTGAATCCCATCGTTGGAGCCACGCGGTCATTAACGACTGTCGGCTGGAAGTCCGTCCACATGGGGCGTTTACTGCTGAGTCCCTCCCAACGCAAAGGAGAATCCCGGACCCAGGACCGGGCAGGCACCAGCTTCCTTCCACACGAGGAAGGGGGGCCCCACGGCGCCTCCTCTGCGGGGCAGCCCCTCTTGCCCCTTGAAAGTTTCCCTGAGAGAGTGCAGTCCTTTCTGAAAGGCGCTCTGGGCCTCGCCCAGAAGCAGGTCGCTGCTGGTGAGCAGGGCCATGGAGGGAGCTCCTGGGGCTGCACCCCCAGCGGGACCCTGGGTCCGGGGAAGGCAGGGGGTCTGGGGGAACCCTTGTTTTTCCTTCCATGGCTCCACCTCCGCGGTCTGCAGCAGAGCCCAGCGCTGGGAGGGGATTTCAGAGGCGGTTCTGTTTTCACTGGAACACAGACCAGAGACCCCAACCGTGGCCAGCCACAGCCCAGGTCCGAGGGGCAAATCCCAGCTCCCCCGGGGCCCGGGCATCATGTGGCTACTGCGTACTCCTTGCCACTCTGCTGGCACCAGCCGGTTGGCACCACCAGCCTCTTCCTGGCTGCCTCTGCTCACGTCTCTCTCAGGGTCAAAACTGGGGCTTCCTGGGGACAGGCTGGGCCCAGAGTGCTATGGAAAGGGGGGGAGCAAGAGCAGGATCGTGGGAAGGGTTCCCTGCCTGGGCGGGGTCTGGGGCACCTCCCTGTGGGCGCTCCTGTCAGCGATGGGGGCTGGGCCGGACGGTCAGGTCCAGGAAGTTCCTGAGGGGCGTTCACTGGCTGGCTCCCTTCCCTGTGGCCGTGCCAGGCGCAGTTTGGTTTCACCATGACGCAATCGCAGGACACCTGCTCTGTGCCTGGCGCCGTGGGAGGCGCTGGCCCGAGCGGGAGGAGCAGGTTCCAGTCCTGCCTGGGCGGGTGCTCACCCTCTGAAGGGCCACAGCCATGGGGGCAGGCTCGGGCCCTGAGGGGGGAGCATGCAGACATGCAGACAAAGGATATTCATCCACAAGGGGTCCAGGGAAACATGAGCCTGGGGCTGGAGAGGAGGCAGTTCCGGCCTGAAATCACCTTTCTCCTGAAGAACTGGAGGAGGGTGGGAAGACGGGGGAGAGACCCCAGGATCCTCTTCCTAATGCCACTCGCTTGCTCTGTCCCTCCCCGGCTGGCTCAGTCTCCCACCTGTTCCGTGTCCCCTGTGGCCCGCGCTGTGGCCGCGTGCTCTGCTCCCGATTGCTGCTGCCTTTCATTCCGCACCTCCGTGCCTCAGGCAGTGCTGGGCATCGCTTATGCCCTTAGCACAGTCTCCCCAGCACCTGCTCTGAGGCCTTATTGTCCCATTTGAAAGGTGAGCAGACTGAGGCTCCGAGAATGTGCTTGTTTCTTCCACAAGGAACCCCAGGCAGCCAACCGGGACCTTTGTCCTTGCCCCGGGGACTCTCCTCCCCAGGAATTGGCTCAGAGCAGGTGCACCCAGCTTTCCCTCCCAGGGCCTCCCCCGGAGTAGGTGAATGTTCGCTCTTTTGTGGAAAGCCAACAAGGACTGGACCAAGGCCACGCGGGGAGGTGGGCGGGGAATGGGAGTGGGTCGGGAATAGGAAATGGGTGGGGAATGAGAGGTGGGCGGGGAATGAGAGGTGGGTGGGGAACGGGGAGGTGGGCGGGGAACGGGGAAGGGGGAGGCAGACTCCTGAAGGCCTGGGTCCGAGGGGACCACCTGGGGGACACCCTGGACACCTCTAGGCCACCCCTCACATTCGGGAGCTGAGGAGGCAGGTGGTAAGAGAGACCCCCCTCCAAAGAGGGGGCCCGGAAGGGGGACTGCTATTCCGATCTGGGGTGAGGAAGGCCTCCGGAGGAGGTGACATTTACTTCTGAGGCAGCAGGAAAGGAAGGAGATGAGGTGACCCCGGCAGGGAGGAGTCTTTCAGCCTAAGGGTGAGGCTGGGTGAGGGGGTGCTCCTGGGACCCCTAAAGGCTCCATTCTGGTTGGATTTGATTGAGAAGAAAGCAGGAGGCAGGGCCCAGGTCTGGGAGGGGCAGAGGGTTCTCAGAGGAAAGGAGGCCTCTGTGAGGGGAGCCTCTGGTTGGGGCGGGGCGGTCTCTGGCGGCCCAGGCCCTTTCTCTCCCTCTCAACCCCCAGCACACCAGCCAGAGTCCCACCTGAGGGAGGGCCCAGCTGCCAAGGGTTGGGCCCCAGAGACGCCTCTAACTTCAGGTCCCTGAGGAGCCCCCTCTGCCCCAGGCCAATGGGAGGCTCAGACCTGAAGGTGAGGCAGATTTGGGGTGGGGAACCCCACGTTCCCCACAGCCCTCCGGGCAGGAGAGCAGCTCAGCCCTTCTGAGCACTTGCTGACTAGGGCACCCCAACTCATGAAACCACTGCAGGGCGAAGGGCACCCCCCCCACCCATCACCCCACAGGGCCTGGCGGGAGGGTGGGGTGGTGGCCCGGGGCAGGCAGGGCCTGTGCGAATGGACAGGGTTGCTTCCCGCGGAGGCAGCCTGGCAGCTGAGCTGCTTGAATTCCCAGAAAGACTCGGCCTTTGCAAAGCAGAGGAGAGAGACTGTACTTCAGCGTGAAGCAGAGACAGGGAGGCAGGGGCACCAAGATGGTGATGGGGGGGGGGGGTGGTCCCCTGGATGGCAGAGGGAAGGGATCCGCAGGCAGAAGTGACTGGAACCAGCCTGAGAAGGGTCTCCAATGCCAAGGGCAGGGCTTGGGGAAGCAGCTGGACCCAGAGCACATCAAGGATCACCCTCCCCTCTGTCCCACTGGGAGCGCACGTGCTCCCTGGTATGCAGTTCCCAGGCCCCAGGCAGGGGCTCAAAGTGAGCGTGAGGGCTTGGCCTGGCTGCACAGACCTCCCCCGGCCTCAGGCCCAGCCCCAGGCCTGGCCTCGGGAGCTGGCCCCTGGGAGCCGGATCAGCTCCGGCTGCAGCCAGGACTCACTAAACCCAGGCAGGAAACAGGCCAGCTGCGGCCTGGAACGGGAGGGACTCTGGGGGATGTTTAGCCCCCTCTCTGTCTTTATACACACGGGCAAACCGAGCCCCAAGAGGGGGGCTTGCCAAAGTCACCCAGAAGGGGCACAGCCTAGACCACCTGGAAGGTCCCCTCCTCAGGAAGAGGGGTGACTACCCACCTGCAGCCACTGAGCTCCCAGCGCAATCTGGGCGCAGCCGCCTGGGTCAGTGGCTGCTGCCCCTCCTCTCTTGGGGAGTACCTGGGCGCACAGAGGCTGGAACCTGGCTTTGCTGCCCCTCCTCTCTTGGGGAGTACCTGGGCGCACAGAGGCTGGAACCTGGCTTTGCGAGGGCAGAGCGGTTGGTTGGGTCTGGGTGGAGCCCTGGAATGCGGAGAAAACATCTCTGAGAGTCTCTATTTAAAAAGAATCCTGTTGTGCGCTTTTAAACAGAAAGTTCCTGCTCCACCTCACCTCTGCTTCCCTGGAGGCTGACCTGCGGGGAGGGGAACTGCTAGGCGGGAAGAGAAAAGCCCTCCGTCCCTGGCTCACTTTCCAAGTCCCTACCGACCCTCCTCCCTGGGCCTGGGGGCTGGGGCGGCAGAGCGCCTGCTGGGGATGCGCCCGGACTGCTAGCAGAGGAGACACAAGGAAGGCCAGCTTGCTAAGCGAATCTCTCCATCCTGAGATACCTTGCTTATTACACTGTAATTCTCCCTTCTTCCCACCCCCACGAGCGAATTAAATTCATCCCTGAATCTTGGGCGGGAAGGAAAAACAAAAACAAAAAAGCTTGTAGAAGGACCAGAGCCCTTGGGGCCATCCAGGCCAAGGGTCCCGCCGGAGGCCGGTAGTCGCCTGTCCACCAGCTTTCCCGGCACGCGCAACCTCCCCATTGCCCAAGCGACTGGGGCAGACTTCCAGATTTAAAACGACGTCGTTTATTTCAATTTTGCTTTCACATTCTGTTCCGTACAATCAACACTCCTAAAGGAACCTCTTGACCAAGAGTCCAGTGATGAGCGCCAGTCCCGGGTGCCAGGCCGGTATGGAGGGCAGGCCCTGGACTTGGAGCAGCGGGAAGGAAAAGCCGTTTGGACCGGGGAGCGCGCAGCGGGAGCGCATGGCGGGAGCCGCCCAGGGGCAAAGGCGTGGGAAGCGCGTCCCTCCGGGCAGCGGGTTCCAGCTCCTGCGATCCGCGTTATTCCCAGTGTACGTGGACTTCAAAAAAGCTTCCGGCCGGCAGCCCCGCCTGGCCTACTAAGATTTCGGTCAAATTTCTTATGTTTGCGCCAAAGCAGGGAACACAGGCGAGAGCAGGGCTGGCCCCAGGCCTGGTGCGGGGAGGCGCGCGCTTGGGCGGCTGGGCGCGGTAGCCCTCGCAGCTGACCTGGTTGCAGGGTCGCAGGCTAGCCCGCCCCCCACATTCGGAGCCTCGCCCTTCTGCACCCCGACCCTCAAACCTCGCAGCTGGGGGAGATGCGGAGTTGACAAAGCGGTGTCAGAAAAAGAAAAGTCCCACTTCAACTTTATTGGATGAAAGCAAATTGAACTCCTGGCTATTCACACGTATGTTACAGAGGACGGATGCCGAAGGGTCCAGAGGAACCTCCCGGCGGTGGTTAGTTGGAGCCACAGAACACGAGGGGGTCGACAAGCGTCAGAATATCAAGCAGCCTTGGGTTTCACGATCACTCCGAATGGGGACATAGAAATACGGAAACACGGCCGGTGTCCACTGGGAAGTCCTTCGTGTACAAATGATATATATATATTTATATATATATTTTTAAACCAGTCACCACCCAGGTGAGTCCTTTCTCTGCTAAGCAGCAGCCGAGGACGAAGTATCTTCAGCTAAAGGACTCTTGAGCGGTGTTGTGAGTAGAGCAGGACTCGCCAAATGAAAAACCGCCGCCTCCATCACGAAATAAAAATACAAACTTACCCCCCTGCGGCTAAGACGGGGGAGGGGCGCATTGGATTTCAGCAGGGGACGCGGGAGGGACGGCATTTCCCGTTCTACAGTGAAATACAAAGTTTCTTTTCGGTAACTCGTGGGGAACGGGGACAGGGGGGCGGTGAAGACCGATGAGGCGGTCTCTCTCTTCCTCCCACACTGCAACTGGAAGGGGGAGGCAGCCTATTTTTGGAAAGGGGAGTGCGCAGAGCTAGCTGGGATCTACTTATCCAAATGAGTAACCGGACACAGTCGTCCCACCGCCTCCGCGGGCCGCCTGCGCGCGCCTTTCGCAGGATACAGTTGCGTTACGTTGGGGGGAGTTTCGAGTCCTTTACGTGTCGGCCTCCTGCTCATCCCCCCTCTCCTCCTGCCTCGCCCGCTCCCGGCCTCCTGCTCCGGAGACGAGGCCGTCAGAGGGGAAACACGAGGAACCCGGAGAAGGTCGAGTACTTCCAGCCGCCCATCAGGTTGCCCCGCTCCAGCTTGAGGTAGGCCCGGTCGCCTTTCTCCATCTGGATAAGGACTCCGTTGCTGGCGGCCTCCCGGGTCACGTCCTGGTCACCGGCGAAAGCTGAAATCACCGGCCACCCGTTTAACATCAGGCTCACCTGCGAGAGAGAAAGGCTCGCTTCAGGGTGGCAGCCAAGATGGTACCGAAGCGGCAGTAGAGACGGGACCTGCGCGCTGAGCGCTCAGCCTTAAAGGCCAGGAAGCGGGAGGGAGGTGCGGGATGGGAGGGCGGGGAAGGGGCTTTGCAGGTTACTGCCGAGGGTCCAGTGGGGACAAAAGGCGCCCATCTAGATGAGAGAGGATGGGTCTGCCCCTCACCGGAGTCACCTTCATTCGCCCATCGCATCCTGAGGGCGCTTTTTAAAAAAAAATTCAATTTGAGGGACCCATAGGTGGCTCAAGCGCCCTGACACCTTAGTCCCCCGCCCCCTCAACCCCCCACCCCCAAGGCTCAAACGGAAACTCAGACAACCCGGCTCTTGGTGCTCCTGGGAAAACAAACACACAAAAAACCCTGGCTCCCCCAGCTCCTAGCTGCCTGGCCCGACACGGAAGAGACGGGGGAGGAGCCGGGCGAGGCTTCGGACTAAAGAGAAATCTCGCGCAGAGCTGCATTCCGCGCTCCATCCCCAAACCCCAGGCTCAGTTCCTGTCCAGCTCCGGCCGGCCGCGCCCCGCACCTGCCGCCTGGTTTTGCCCTTGCGGTGGCCTCGGCAGCCAAGGGCCCCGCGCGCCCCCTCTTCCCAGCCGCGCATTCCATCTCGGTCTCACCCCAAAGGAAACCTAGACACCTTCGAGAACCCCGGGAACCAGCGAGAGCGGGCTGGGACGAGACTGGAGCCGGGAGGGAGTGGCACGATGCGCCTTCCCTTCTTCCTCCACCCTTCACCCGCTCGGGCTCCGCGCCGCTAGTTCCAAGACCCAGAGCAGGTCCGCAAAGGAACGGCGGAGGCCACCTGAGCGCCGTGCGCAAGGCTGGCGCACCGGCGTCCTGCCGGCTTCGGAGCCGGAACTAGGGGCCGGGGCACTGTCCGTGGTGCTGAAGGGCGGGGGTCAGGGAAATCTGTGGGCAGCAGGAAGTGCCTGTGATGCTGAAGCAACCTCTACGGGAAACCCCTGCAGTCTCAGAGGAAAGCGCGAGAGAAACCTCTGTAGGGGGCTCAGAAGGCCGGAGGAGCGAACCTCTGTCTTTGGGGAGGGGATTAGGTTCCAAGAGCCAAAGGCAGGAGAAGCAAGGGGCAGCCCAAGCCACCGAAGCAAGAGCCCCTGCTACTCAGCCGGACGGGCCGGGCCGTGCAGCTGCTCCTCTTCTCCCACTCCCACGCGGCCGCTCACTCCCGCGGCTAGCAGCCCCCTACCCGGGCCGGGCCTGGCCCGGAGGCGGCGGCTGACCTGGATGGTCTGTCTGTTGTAGACTTTTACCACGTGGAAGTTAAAACTGTAGATCCCTTTGCGCGGGGCGATGAAAGTGCTGCGTTCTGAATCAAAGTTGTTCCCGATGTTCACTAGTACCTATAACGAGACGGGGGCGGGGGGGAGCAGGCAAGAGTCAATCCGAACTCTGCCACCGCGCCTCCGCAGAGACCTTGGGGAATAGGGGCGCCCACCTTCCTCCTCTCCCCCACCCCCTACCAGTCCAGGCTACGCGTAGCGCTCACCTGGTCGAAGTAGATGATCATGGTGCGATTACTCATCTCGGAGGGCTCGTGGTTGGTGCTTCTGATGGCAGAAAAGGCCACCTTGGCGCTGCCGGAGCGCACAGAGATGCCCAACGCTGTGCCCGTGGGGTCGGACGTGGGGTTGGAGTCGCACACCACCAGGCACTTGCCCTCCAGCACGATGGGTTCCGTCTCATTCTGCCCCCGAGCCGGGCCCGCCAGCCACACCGCCCCGAGCAGCAGTAGCTCCACGACACCCAGCATCGCGGCGGCGGCGCCCACCCCGCCCCCCACCCCGGGGGCCGCCTGCGCCAGCCGCCCCCCCGCCCCAGCCCCGCTCCGGAGCCCCCTCCTCAGCTCCGTGCGCAGCTCCGCCGAAGCCGCTCTGGACACTCCTGCTCTTCCTTGCACTCCCGAACAGCCGTGCCCCCCGCGCGATGCTCCCGGAGCCCCGCCGGGGCCTCAGGGGAGCCGCGGCTGCCCAGCCCTACTTAGATGCATAGCCGCTGCCTCTCGGTCCCCGCTGCTTCCGCCGCCTCCTGCCCGCACCCGCCGCTGGCACCGCCGCCGCCGCTCTGAATTATTGATGCAGCCGGCGCTGCAGCCGGAGCGGCGGAGAGCGCGCGCCAGGCACAAAGGCGCGGACCGCGGCCTGGCCCCGCCCCCTCCGCTTCCCCGCCCGCCTCCCTCTACAGCCCCGCCCCCGCCCGGCCGAGGCTCCGCCTCCCGGCCAATCCGGGAGCGCCGCGCTCCCCGCCGGGCCAATGGCGGCGTTGTCCGCGCGCGGCCACCTGACCCCGGGCGCCGTTGTTATTAGGCTGGGCGAGGCGGGCGGCGCGCGGCAGCGGGGTTGGGCTCTGGCCTGGAGACGACGGAGGGAGCGAGGCCGGGAGCGCGCGCGCGCACCCGAACCGTTCTCCGCGGCAGCTCGCTCTCTCGCCTGCTGTCTCCTGCCACCGTCTTGTTCAACCCGCTCAGCCCTGCCGCCCGCCTCCCTCTTCCGTCCGCAGGTAGGAGGCGCGCGCGTCCTGAGTAGGGAGTAGAATCGCAGGGGAGGTGCGGCTCCCGCGGTAAAGGCGCGAGGGGTGAGAGGGGAGCGCCCCCCAGCGGGCGAAGGCGCAAGGGGCAGCCTGCGTGTGGGCTGGTCGGGCTGCCTAATGCTGGGCGCGTGCATGCGCGGCGGGGCGGGGCGGGGCGTGCGCGGTGGCCTGGGAGGTGCACGTGCTGCCGCCCGGAGCCGTCTGGGCCCGGACTTGGGTCTCGAGGCCTGTGTCTCCCTGCTCACCTTACCCGGCTCGTGGCCACGGAGGTTGGAACTGGACCCGCCGCCCTTGCCCGCCACTGGAAGAGCCTGCCCTGCGGGCCATGGAGATCAAGCGTGCGCTCGTTCCTTGGTTAGTGCGTTTATTAAGGCCGGATCAGTGAACAGGCACCAGTGCCAGGCCCCGGGGCAGGCGCGGGGGACGCGGTGGTGAGCGAGATCAGAGGCCTTGCCCGATGCCTCCTGCAGTTCAGTGCTCGGGGCAGGAGCGAGCGCACTGGCGTCGCCCGCAGGCTTTTCCTGGGTCCCATGTTCTCTTGCGGTAAAAACGTCTACTTCGCATCCTCACTTTTTATTTACAGCGAGGCTCGTCCACGGGCGCCTGCGCAGCATTGCCTTCGGTGCAGACCCAGCATCTTGTCATTTATAGGCGCTTTTTCAACGGTCATTTTGACCCTAAATGAATGTTCGCGTCAGACATTGACTTGGAACTTTACACACACATGCACGCACGCGCGCACACACATGCGCACACGCGCGCGCGCACACGGCGACAAACCTAAATGTAAAAATACAGCTTTGCTGAGTGGAAGGAGAGAGGAGCTGCGGAGGGGGAAGAGGCAGCCTGGGGTGCGGGAAGACCTAGACCTGGAAGGGTGAACGCAGGCAGCTAACTGGGTGGCGGAGGCAGGAGGGTCAAGTCCAAAGCAAGAGCGCCGGTCCGACCCCCAGGCAGAGGCGGGCTGGGATGCTGTTCACCTGGGCACGTGGCCGGGCGACCTTGAACCTGCGTGCTCAGCGGAGCCAGGAGCCAGAGCAGCTGGGCAACTGGCAGCAGCCAGAGGCCAGCTGGGGACCTGGGAGAGGTGGGGCGCCCCCTAGGGCACGCTCTCCCCCAAACAGGGAGGCCTGCCCCGGAATCGCCAACAGCCACGCCTTTCCGCTCTCAATCTCTTTTGTCACGTGGCCACCCTGACAGGTCTTTAAAGAGTTACCTGGGGTGCGGGGGGGGGGGGGGGGGGGAGGGGAGAGTTGATCTCTGACCCCACCTCCCTTTCAGAGGCCTGCAGCGGCCACTGGGCTCCGCCAGGACAAAGGGAAGGGCCAGGGCGCTGGCAGGAATTTCATGTTAAGTTGAAACGACAGGAAAATATTTTCCAGCTCTTCTCTTGGAGAGCAAGCCCTTGCCAGCCGCGCTGACACCTCATGTGAGAGCACGAGCTAATTTGAGAGGTGAAGGCTCCATAATGAGACTGCACGCACCTGCCACCAGGCGGGTCCCTGGAGAAGCACCAGGTAGCGTAGCGGCGCGTGCTCTCTGGCTCCGCACAGCCTGTCTTTGCCAATAGTGAGCAGCGCCGCCCCCTGGCGGGGGGAAGGCCCGCTTTCTCCTCCCCTGCAGGCCCGAGGCTCCCAGGGGAGACGGTGGCCAGCCCCCTCCTCTGCCCTTCACATGAGGCTCCCGAGGGCAATGCCCACGCCGGAACTGCCGTCCCCATGCCCGTGTCCTTCATCCCGCATTCCCAGTCTCGGCCTTACTTCGGCCGGACCGGTCCTTCCAAGGGCTCTGCTCCATGTCCCGCAGGCGGGGTGACCTGCCCCCACCCCCGACTCTGCCCCCTCCTTCCTTCCCTGTCCCAGTGGCAGCAGCTGCGCCCACCTAGGGACCCCGCACATCTAACAGGACCGCAGGCATCTCTGTGTCCTGTGGTTTCAGCCATTGTCAGAGCGCCTCCCGTCTGAGCTCACCCTCCCTGGCCTGGGTTCTTGGAAGAGCCCCCTGGCTTATCCTCCAGGCTCGCCTCCTGGCCCTCCGGACTCCGAGCGTTCTTTCACTCGGGGGGTGTCTAGTGGGCGCCCTGAGATCCGCAGTCCCCGCTTTCCCCCGTGGAGGGGAGGCGTCCCGGCCACCACATTCAGGTTGCTCACCCCCTTGGCATGCGTCACCGCTCCTCCGCGCGGGAGGTGCTCAGACAATAACAAATGCCGGCCTAATGCGGGCGGATGCGCGCCCTCCTGAACGGGGAGGTGTCAGCGAGATGAGGTTCGCGAGGAGGAACACCCTTAGAAACCCTAAAGCAGTCCTGTTCATGTTCCGTGTTGACATGTTGACTCGGGGTTCTTTGAGCTGCAAGTGAGAGACCAGTTCAGACGGGCTTATTAAGGACTCCACCTGGGCGGAGCCTTGCCAGGGAGGTATGGCCGGATCCCCCACCCAAGGTTTCAGGGTCTGTGTTCGGGTTTTGGCTTTATTTTCAAGTAAGTGGTTTCCATCGGATGGCTCCTAGAAGCTACTACCAGCTCACTCCTAGTGAGAAAACAAGAATGTAATTTTTTCCCCTCAGTATTTGCAGCAAAAATCTCAGGGTGGCCCTAGCTGGTTTGGCTCAGTGGATAGAGCGTCAGCCCGCGGACGGAAGGGTCCTGGGTTCGATTCCGGTCAAGGGCATGTGCAGGAGGCATCCAATCAATGGGTCTCTCTGTGTCTCTCCTCCTCCCTTCCACTCTCTCTAAAAATCAATGGGAAAATATTCTCGGTGAGGATTAAGAAAAATAAAAAGATCTCAGGGTAGTTCTCACAGGGCGGCCTGAGGCTCTCGTCCCTCTCTGAGCAAGTCCTGCCGACTGGGCGTGGGTCCAGGCGTCTGCCTCTGGACAGGGGTCTGGTGTTGGCTGCGCACCGTCCAGACTTGGGGAGTTGCCCAGAGGGACCGCAGAGAAGGGGCGTCTGCTCCAGCCCTGCTCACACGCAGGCCACTGCGGAGGGTCCCCCCTGAAGATGGCGATGGAGACCCCTGCAGTCGCCAGAGCTGCCGGTGTGTGTGCATCCGGGTCTTTCCGGAGCACCCAGACCTCAGCTACACATGAGATCAGACACTCCCCACAGTGAGGGTTCGCTTCGGAGTCCGAATGCACTTCCCATGGGAGAACCAGATCAGTGTCCACAACTAAGCAATGTAATGTTCTGTTCGAAAGGGTTTCTTTACTTTGTAAAAACAATGAAAGAGAGCTTTTCTTTTTTTACTTTTTGTTGGAATTGATTATTTTTCTTTTAGTTTCTTTTCTTTTTCTATGTTTTTTTTTTTTGGCCCCTTGAAAGGCGAAATGTTATTTCTTCATGGCTAGGTACCCAAAATTCCTCACGATTCATCGATTAATGGAGACAAATGAAAATATGAGAAAGTCTGAAAAAACCAAAGGATTGAGTGAGGCCATTCCCGCGATGGAAGACGGCGGGGTGTGTCTGGCGAGGCTTTCTGGGCTCTTGAAGGACTGGCAAAGTGTTATAAACCGTCTGCCTGACGCTCCTAATGCGTTAGAGATTCCGGCGCTACAAGGTGGCAGATAATGCATCTCTGCTGTTGCTGTCACACCCTCTACCTGCTGCCTCAAGTGCAGCCTTGTGTCTGATGAGGTCGAAGGTTTCCCCCCTCTTGCATTTCCAGTTCCCCAGCACCGGGCAGCTGGGGAAGTGGGGGTGACTTCTATTCCCGGAAGCCCCGCCCCCAGGCCCCACCCCTAGGGAAGGAACCAGCTTCCCTATTGTGGGAATGAGAGAACATTGTCAGGAAAAGGGGAATATTTTGTCCCAGGAGATGAAGCAGCCTCATTCTTTTATTAACTCAAAATGGATTCTCTAATGTTCGTGCGCATCAAACAGTATTTCATCTCCTTTTGGTCTCGGTTCAAAGCCCCAGACGGGACCATTCCCTAGTTTTTAGTTCATTTGCTCATAAAGCAGGAGAGAGAGGCTGTGCTCTTCTGAAGAGTGTTAAATTTAGGATTTCAAGGGCCCGGTTCATTTTAAATTAATGCTGGGTCTAGAGGATCACACCTGAGGGTGATTCTAAGTTGTGCAAAGTATGAAATAATTTAACTTCCACCAAAACCTCAGTGCTCCCGCATGTGTGTCCCCCCCCCCTCAGATTCATTTTCATACAACATTGTTGCTGTGACAGTTTTCAAAGGACGTTACAGAATTAGCTTTGTCATTGGACACTGCTATTAAAA